TTTTACTTAACAAAAATTAAATTTTCAGGTTTAATGAAAGTAGAGCTATTTTAAAAATATTAAATGGGCTTTGAAAATTATTGTGAAATTTTTAAAATTGTTAATAGTAACTAGGGGCCTGTTTGGAATAGGACCCACCACATGGGAGGGACACTATAGTGGCATGTGGGGCTCACATGCATCCCAAATGCCTCCATGCCCCACATTCTTTTTCCTCTTTCTCTTTGACTTGAATAAGTCTTCTAGAAGAAAAAGAGATTAGAAAATATTTGATTGAAAGAGAGATTGAAGTGATTTTATGGCAAGTTGTTCCATATCTTAAGATTTTATGACACATATGTTATACCTTATGTAATCAAATACTTGATGGGGATGGGTCAAGGAAGCTTTGGGATGATGGTTTTAGAACCTTCCCTTTAATCATGATGGTTGATTTAGAGAATTGGTAGCTAAGATCTCTTCACCCTATAGGTCTCCTTAGATTGATGATCAATATTAATTCTCAATAAGATGGCAATCCCTAGACCACATAAACTTTAATTTACATCTATAAAACCTCCTTGGGAGTAGCCTCTATAGAGACCTCTCCCCTCCTCCCCCTTCCCCCCTCGGCACACCCCTCTCTCCTCTCTCTTCTCTCCCTTCTCTTGCTTTCGGTCTAAAGGGGTGCCACGCCCCAAGTAGAACATGGCACACCTTAAGGTAGAAAGACGTAGGTAGAGGGTGCCCTATCCCACAAGAGAAAATTAGGTCATGCTCTCATCTTGATTCGGGTTTTACCTTGGCTTCCTATTTTGTGAAACAACATAGATCATGTGCACCATCGTTGTTCGATCTAGAGTGAGGTGCCAAGTTCTTGGAGGTGATCCAAGGTAGGGTAATTTGGTAATTTTTGCTTCTATGTTTCTTGCTTCACTCATGTGCATTATATCTTGATTTTATTTGAATGACAGATTTTTTCTTTGTTTTGTTTTTTTTGTGGTATGCAAGTGAGGATTCTAGATTGTATTTTTTTTTTTTTGAGTTGTAATCGATGCTTGTAAATGGTTTACCTGGTATAAATAAAAAAAAAGAGAAATTTTAAACGTTATATGCTTGGCTAGAACCACAATGCCACTTTTCATTCTACCCGTACCTATGAATTGCTTTGGGCCTAGAAATGATATATTGGAGAGATTGAGGCAAGTTTTTGTTTCTTGTTCTTCCCTTAACGCGTGCCTTTGCAAGTCAAGCTCAAAATCCTTGAAGAAGAGATATTTGTCTTTGTACTAGGGATTCAAAAAACTAGTTGCACCATCGGTCTAGGGAATCAATAAGGAGTTCAAGAAGTCATAGGGGTTGACCTTAGGCAACAAATCTTTTTGTTGCTTTTGACTGAAAAAATCAGTTGGTGTTCAAGTGCTGGTTGTTCACGTGACAACAGCTTTCCCTGGTGTAAGGTAATGCCTATTTTCGTTGATTTTGAATCTACTTCCTCCATGTCAAATCTCAAAGAAATCCCATTGGTAGCGTGGGAGATATGGATATTTCACTAGAAGGTGCTTTATTTGTTTTCTGCTGAATTCAACCATGTATGAACATCGATCATGTGTTCACTTTCATGGCTTATTCTTGAACATGGCAGGAAAACTATCTTAGGGTGTTATTATCTGTATTATTTAGAGGACTAAGGTGTTGCGCAGGTAGGTTTTGTGTGTGATAGTGGAAATAAATAGAAGATTGTAGAAAGTTCTGAAAATATAAACCGTGGCTAGCACCAACCCGGCAGCCAATCAGACAACTGCTAGCATATTTGAATTTAAATTTGAATTTGAGATAAAATTCGCCTTGTCCAAATTTGAAGTTTTATCTTCCACAGTTTTGTTTTTCACCTAATCTGGCGGTCTAGATATTTCTTTATCCATGTGTTTCTTCTTAAGCATCCAACCTTTTATTCCTTTCACATGTCATCTCTTTGCCATGACAAATGACACTTTCAGCTTGTCTTCCCATTAGAGGTTGATCTGCTTGTTTCTGAAGCTCTTTCAAAGCAGGTTTCTTTGTCTGTTCCTCCTCTTGTGTAATATTCTGCTCTCTTTCAGGTTATTTTATCATCATCATAATGCTTTATGCTGTTTAGGGATAGTTTACTTATCTTTTTCTCTCCATTTTGCTCGGATTTACTACATTTGGTTCTTCTTCCTTGATGGTCAGGCAATATTTCAAGCTTGTTTGCCATCAGTGTAATCTGGTTTGAAAGTTGTTTATCTAAGGTGGTTTGACCAACATTCTTGCCATGCGTAGGCTTTTGCCAGCTATTGCCTTCCAGTATAACTTGTCCAGCTTACAACAACTTTTAGTTATGAGCGTGTATACTAATGCTCCCTCTGGAGCATATTATACATTTACTCCCTCAGGCAAAACACTAACTTGGGAGATTTTTTTATTTATTTGAAGTTTCGGGATTCATCTAATTATAACTAGATGATTAAAATTAGATTTTGGGTTCATAAACATCTTAGATCATTTCCTCCACAAAATTGAACAGTTTCGATGCAATCTTGGGATGATAATTTTTTTTTTGGCACATAGAGAGTAAGAGTTCGCATCCCAAAAATTTGAGATAAAAAAGATATACCCAAAGTAAGTTTTGCCCGAGGTAGTAAATGGATGGTATACACCCTAGGGAGTAGAAAATCTTTTGGGTTTAGTTATTTCACAAAATACCTCATATGTGAAGAGGCATCCATAGACTCCTCTTGGGGGTTGGAAAACAAGCAGCAGCTACCACTCTAAAATGAGAAGGTCAACATAGAACTCCTAAACTTCTACATTCCCATTACAAGATTTTTCATAGCTCTCCATTCTAGCTATGCAAAAAGCGGACATCAATGTTCTCCAGTTTCTTTCAAATAACTGGAGCTGTGGTCCTCCAAACGCTGCTTACCCATGAATCCAGATCTGAAATATTGTTTATCTGATGAGGGCATCGTAGCCTTCTATTGAATCAAATTCGTTTTTATTTACTCTCTTGGTAGTAAATGGAGACTTATTTAATGATGCGGTTATGGTTTCTTTTTTGTTTTCATTTTACTATGTTTTCAGAAGAGTGATACTAGGGGTTTTTGATCTTTCAAATTTTAGGAGACTTATTTAATGATGCAGTTGTGGTTTATTTTATTTTTATTTTATTACATTTTCAGCAAAGTGATACTAGGGTTTTTTTGAGCTTTCAAGTTTTTTAGTTGTCTATGATATTTATGTTTTTCTTGTTGTAGAGAATTAAGGTTTGGTTTTATCCTTTCATTATTATTTTTCTTAGTTAAAGGTTTTATATTATTAAGTTTAAGTCATGAACTTATAAATGGGAGAGGGAGGACATATGGTCCCTTGGTGAATGTTTTGGAGACAGTTTCTGAAAAAAAGAAATAATTAAAAAATAACTGGAAAGGGTTTCTTTGATTCCTTTACCTGAAAGTCATAAACACGGCTTGGTAGCACCTCCTAAGGTCCCTCCATTCCAAGGTGTTCTTCAATTCTCTTTTCCCTTCTCTTCTTTTCTCATTTTTGGTTCTTCCTTTTTCTCTCATTCTTTTCTTTTTCCACCTTTTTTATCTCTTAAGTCTTCATTTCTTCACCTTGTATCCTCTTCTTCTTATTTTTTTATTTTTCTCCTTCCCATTCTCAATCTCTTTCTCTACCTTATCTTTTTCCCCTTTTTTTTTCACCGCATTAAAAAATCGATCAAACCCTAAAAAATAACCCATTGGTCCTCTTTAGAATGAACCAAAACGAAGTCTCTTGAAACCTCAGACCCTAATTCCACCTTGAAACTCAAAATCCTGTTGTTTACACAGTTAACCTCAAAACCCTAAAACCAGTTGTAGGAGACCCATTGGAATTAATTTGAAGCTGTTCTATGCTTCTTTTCTCTTATAGCTGTCGGCTAGTTGTAGATTTGATATGAACCAATTTTATTTTGGCTGTTTTTTCTCAAGGACAGATATCAATCTACTCCAAATTCGAAACAGTTAACTTCAGAAAAAAAAAAAAATCTACTCCAAATTTGAAATTTCGTCTCATGGACAACAAAGCAAGTTCCTAGATTGCATGTTTATTTAATCAAGTTCACTTGTTTAGTTTTGTGGATGATTACCCGCTTAAATTGTAGATATTTAGCCTTGAAATTGTTGTCCGAACTTGTTTTACTTATAATCGAGGATTAGTGGCTGATCTTAGGTTACATCATTATGAGAGGATTGAATTTTCCTATTATGGTTTCTGTCTATATCCGTTGTCCCCTTTACGATTTCTTTAAACATGTTCTGGGGTCTTGTAATCAAATGTGGCTGATCTTGGATTAACATCATTGTGTAAGGATTGAATTTTCCTATCGATGTTGCTCTTAATACCTTTTGTCTCCTCTACTATTTCCCCGCTAACTTCAATTCTTCTATCATCTACCCTCACCTCTGTAGCACAATGCTCCCTCGCAACCCCCTGGATTTCATGGTTTACTTGAGTCGCATATTCTTTTTGTTTAGTAGGGCTTGGAATAGTTCTAAGCAGGTATTATTGAGGCTCCAGGCACCGCTGGTTGTTCTCTAGATTCTGCCATCTGTATATTCCCCCTTTCCAGTGTGTGCCCCCACCCAACCTGGAACCATTACTTTTCCCCTTTCCTCTTAGAAGCCACGGTTGATCTGCCCTTTCCCCTTAGAAGCCATGATGACTTGCCCTTTCCTCTAAGAAGCTATTCTTATCCATGCATATGTGTTTTAGCATGTTGAAGCAACTTGTCAAAAGTACTTCAATCATCAGCCAAATGAGAAAATGCAAATTAAATGGGCATATCACCTCGCTTGATGGTGTTTTAATATAGCTTTTGTATCATCTTGGATATTTGATCTAATATATCAAGTAAAAACAACTCTCCATGTTTATAGAATCAAGTGCTATAGTTCGTGTTTATTGAAACACTTCTATGTACTTGATGCTAGTTAGATACTCCTATTGTGCAGGTTGTGGAACGTCGCATAGGAGTGGAGGAATTGTCTGATGCTGATGAAGTTTTTGGCACAGGATGTGGAATAGTTATTGCCCCTATTGGTAGCATCACATATCTTGGGAAAAGGTAAGGAGTTTATGCATTTTTCTTTGAAATTTGTCATCTTTTCTTTCATTTTGGTTACAAAGGAATAATAATTCATGTTTACTATCTGGTCAATGGCTGCATACTTGGTTGGTTCTTATCTAAAAACTCCACATTGAATTACCTAAAAAAGATCCTATTGTGGCAAGTTCTGAATTACACTTCTTGTCAAGCATATATTGTTGAATTGTGATGGATGATTAAAACTCACATGTTAGTACCGTACGGAAAAAGTGACAAAGCACATAACATCATCATCATCGTCATCCTCAGAGCCTGTTCCCAACTAATTGGGGTCGGCTACACGAATCTTCGTCCGCCATTCTGCTCTATTAATGGCTATACCTTCAATGAGGCCATAAGTCTTTATCTTTTTTCTCACTACGTCCAACCATGTCCTTTTGGGCCTACTCCTCGCCCTTTTTGAGCCTTCCACTTGAACTAACTCGCACCTCCTAATCGGTGCTGTACTAGGTCTGTGTTGCATATGGCCCGCCCACCTATTGGGCCACACTTAAATTCTTCCCAATGTATTCATTTCGAATTCCATCCCTTTCTTGTCTTGCCACTCATCAATCACAAAATCTCCATCTTAGCTACACTCATTCTATGGATATGTTGTTTCTTGACGAAACACATAACATAATACAAAAATGGGTAAAAGGATGCATTGCTGTCATGAACTCTTCAAATTATATTCATGACACCTCGAAGTAATGATGATTACATTCTGACTGAGCTTACCTTTAAGAAACTTTTTCAAACTTCACGTCTGACACTGCCTTGGTTAGGTTTAAAATGATCTGCATAAAGTAGAAATATGCTTCGTCTCAATTTCTGGAGATTGAACCTTTTGATGAACCAATTGATAGACAATCAAAAAATACTTTGTTATACTGTCAACAAAGACTAGTGCACTTTCATAATCACATCGAATTGCGGGCAGTTTCCTTTGATTAATTCTAATAACTTCAAAAATATTTCTCAAGTAGGCTATTTCAGGAGCGTTATTAGCCATACTCAGCTTCAGGATTGGAACTTGTGACTGACGTATTGCTTCTTGCTTGTTCTAACTACAAGATTGTTTCCAAGGAGTACACAAAATCTTGTAAGTCATTGTTGATGAGCTTGAAGCTTGCACATTTTCCCTAACAATGCTTTGGTGAGGATTTTGGTAATTTTCATAGTTGAAATACGCTTTGTCTGAATTCTTGGGATTGAACTTAGCCTCAACCACTAAGAAGAGGATTAACATTCATCCTTAATGCACGTCCAGTATCATAGATTATCATGGGTAATTAGGTTAGTTCCAATATCATCAAGAGGATATCTCAGCTAGCTTGTTGTGGCAGCGATTCTGGCCATACTTATACTCAGATCAACAATATGCTTCTCAACCAGTAGATTCTTTTTTATTTATTTATTTTTGCTAGTGGTGAGATCCAAACCTTAGATGGAGTGTTGCAGTTGTCAACGCAATAACCAATGAAGCCAGTGCCCAAATTCGTCCAGGTTAATTGTTTCTTGCACTGAAAAACAAGGAAGTTCCAAAAGAGTGCACAAATTCTTAGATTCATTTCAGATCAGCTTTAGTTCGGCAAAAAGAAACATGGGTGATTCTCCTAGATAATTCCAATATCTTTAAGAAGTTACCTCAGGTTATTTCAAATGCAACATTAGCAATTCTTTTGTATTCAGCTCCTATATGAGACCTTGCAGTGGTAAGTTGTTTCTTGCTCCTGCAAACAATGAGATTGTTTCAACAGAAAATGCAAACTCTTGAAGCCATTGACTTTTGGCCATACAGCCTCACGAATCAATGTTCGCATGACTAGATGATGCTAGTTTTACAAGAAAGAAATCAGTCTCTTATTAATTTTATCCTCTGGCTTGCACAATATACAATTTGCAGCTTCTATGAGGTTGTCTTGATGCATAAATTTCCAAGTGCATATGTAGCATTTAATATAGTCAACATCAAGCACTATGACAGCCCTCAAAAGTCTGTAATTCCTAGTAATATCATTTAAATATATTCTTTCTCATGTTTCCATTGATTTCATAGGACCCTCAACAAGTTTGAACTTTATGGTTTCCAAATTGTCCAGGACATTAAACGTTCTTTTGCCGCTACATAATTATCTTGTTTCAAATAATTAGGAAAAAGGTATACTATAGACTGTTTAATTTTGGGACAAAGAGGTTACAATTACCCCTTGCCATCGGATATGAAATAGGGTGGCTGAAGTTGTGTCATGTCTTCCTAAAATGTCCAACAAAGATTTTCTCAGACTGAGCACTGCGAATGGCACATTCCTGCCCAATTTCAAATGTGAAGGCTAAGGGGTTGTATTGACTTTTTCGTACCAAATAAATGTCTTTAATGTATACCTTTCCATAAGAAATATCACTAAAATGGTCAAACCAGCTCAAAAAACATTGTGGTGGTAAAATCAACCAACTTATTGACAAAGTGATTACTTTAAAAATATCATTTCCATTCAAATACCTCCTCTTTTTGTTAAGAAATATCCAAAATGTCCCTAATTTGGGTTTTGATCCCATAAGTAGGTGGGTTGTTTTAGTAATATCCCCCATTTAAGTGGCTCAAGCCAAATGATATAAATACCCTTATTTGCTTGGGGTCCCAAACCTAGAGCGAGAGAGAGAGAGAGCGAGAGAGAGAGAGAGAGAGAGAGAGAGAGAGAGAGAGAGACGTACTACGTAGTACTACTATTACGTTAAGGTTCGGTTTCTTTTACTTACTTTACTACTACTTACGTAAGTTAAAAGTTTAAAGTTAACGTAAACTTA